CTCCCTTCTCTCTGTATTATTTGTCAATTGCTAATCTTTTAGTCGTTGTTCATGGTTGGTTTAGTGTGTTTCTACTGGGCTGTGGCTCACCCTATATGGGAATATCATTTTCAGGTACAGGTAGCATGCCACCTCCAAGGACATAGCTTGGGAGGCTAGAGGCGGACATACTTTTGTCGTTTTATTTTTGATGTATTACATGTAAATTCAAGCCAAGGGCTTAATGTGTAAACGAGTTAGTACTCTTTTGTTGTAACCAAGTGTTAACTTGGAAAGCTGTAAGCCTGTAGGGCATTTTGCTTTTGTTGTTAACATGTAATACTTTTGTAATGAAACTCTGATGAATAAAAGAATGTGGTTTTTCATATGTCAACGAATGTCTTATTTGATGGGTTTAATGTTATTATTTTGAGGGCGTTACACATGGCATGTCAGATATATACATATGTACAGTTAGGGAAAGCAATTAAAGAATGAGATAGAAAGAAGCGGGGTGGGATAATTATTACAACACTTTAAATATTACAAATCCAAGAGAGATGAGGAAGAAAACATATATTACAGCAAAATATAAAAAATCCTCATAAACTCTCAAAATAAAAATAAAATAAAAATAAAATGAAGTAGAGACACACCCTGTGTGACTAAGCACCCACTGATAAAACCCATATTAAATCCACAAATTGAACCCACTTACTTGGAGCCCATGTAAAACCAACTCAAGCCCAATACTCAAAAACCTTATTATTCTCAAACCCATTTGGTTCTGCTTTGAAGAAACCATTTCTTTCCTCCACCACTGCATCACCGCAGCAACGAGCAAGGATCCTCTAGAGTATTTTTTTCCTAAAGTTTTCTAGAGTGGTGCATTGTGTGGTTGAGATTTAATGACAAGTCACATCAATTTTTCAACATTAAATCTCAACCACACAATACACCACTTTAGGAAACTTCAGGAAAAAAATACTCTAGAGAATCCTTGGTGCGCAGCAACACCCTTTTCCCCTCTCTTCTTCCATTTTCCTTCGTCGGAAAATCAACTCTTCTGATTCTCTCCCCTCCAAACCCAATTCTATAAACCCAAACTTCTACAGTGATCTTCCAGGCCATTCAAAGGTCTTGATTTTGAACAGCCATGGTCATATATATATGTACCCAACTGCTTTACACCTCTGAGCTGAATCACCGTCAACTCCACCATGAACTGAAGAATATGAATAAATGTACCCGATGGAAAACCCAACGCCCTGAGATCGCACATCAGAAAATGAAGAGCTTTGTCTCATTCCACCATATTTGTAAGAAGCAGAGGACTTATCAGCCATAGATCTTTCAACACGTTCTCGAGCCTTGACACCATACACCCAACCACGCCATGCACCTACCAAACCAGCGTCACACCGTCAGCCAGACGCGTCGGCGACCTCTGAAAACCCACCAGCAGCCAGCACGCACGGCAGTAAACAGCCCGTTGCTGGAAATGAGTCCAGCGTGCAATAATTATCACCGGAAGTATGAATGGAGAAGTGACTCCCGTGGTTGCTGCTGCTGCGATGTGGTGACTCCCATGGCTGCTGCTGCTGCGATGTGGTGCCTCCCGTGGCTGCTGCTGCTGCGGTGTGGTGACTCCGGTGGCTGCTGCTGCTGCGGTGTGGTGATTCCAGTGGTTGTTGCGGAGGTTCGTGGTGGTGGCTCGGTGTAGAGAGAGAGAGAGAGATATAGATAGAGAGTCAGAGAGTGAGAAAGAGGGTGAGGTTGGCCATGCATGGAGAGGCAGATGTGTTCTGTGTATGTGTATGTGTGTTCCGATGGGCTCTGTTCTCATCCCCCTCCCCCATGCACACCACCTCTTTTATGCTGTTGTCCCCAGGCCTAGACCGCAATCCCTTTCTTTGAAACTGCCCCTTTCACGTTTGTGAACTCATTGGGTTGGTTGATAAAAATAGGAAAATACCTAGACCGCAATCCCTGGGTTGGCCTATGAAACCCTAGATCGCAATCCCTTTCTCACATTTTATATTTTCATGATTCATTATCAGTGTTCTGTTGCTCTTTCTCGTATTTCTATTTCTTAGAATACTATATTGCAGCTTCCATCCTTTCATTTTCTCATGGGTAATGTGGAAGATTTTAACAGTATATGAACCTTTATCTAACTATATTAATATAATAGACAGTTTATCATACTTGAAGAGAAAACATATAGAAAATTTTTCTATTGTGGTGTGGGAATTGGGCACATGAGTTAAAAAAACTAATTTTGTAATGATTTCATAACTTGGTTCTTATGGGTACTTAGGCTATTGTGGAGTGGTTTTTAACATTGTCTAATGTCTATCAAAAGTATCATAATACCAGATATGTTCTGTTTATCACAACCAAACCACTTGTATAGATAAACTCATAAAGCTAATAATTTTTTTAACCGAACTATAAACTAACTAATCAAATGTAAAAAAAATAAGAAAATATTCAGTTAACAATATTTTCTTTTAAATACTAAAAAATTGGACAAATTTTAACCCGCCAGAAGAAATTTAGAGTTGGAGACTTATTTTACTTGATTTTTTATCTATTGGGTTGAAGAAGAAACTCCTGCAAGTGGTTATCTCCTTTATACCTCCATTTTTGTTCTTTTAGATTGACACACAATCCATGCATGGTTCCAATCACTTCAAACAAATGATCAACTTCTTTGAATTGGTTTTAAACTTCTTGTTCTATTTGTTCTTTAAACTTCTTTTCTCCATCTCCACTATATGATCTAGTATGAAGACAGTCGTAGACATTTAATTTAGAGTTTTTTTTTTTAAACCTTCTTAACAATATTAATACCCTCATTTATTATTTATCCAAAACAAAAAAAAAAATTTTGATACCCTTATTTAATATCAAAATTTTCCTCTAGAAACCAAGCGGTAGAGTTTCTTAGGGAGGTAGTTTCAACATTATCACAGGGTACAAATCGTAAGGCATCATCAAGTCTCGACGAGTTCTACACATTGAACGGTTCAGATTTTCAAAACGGGATCCGTGGTGGGCTCTCACGGACCCAACAGCACAGTCCAGTCCGATCCCGGACTGGACAGAAGCTGGACCCATGTTTTATTTGTATATCATTATTCTTTAAATAAACATGAATCTAGCAACCTCATCAAAGTCAAACAGTAAAACAAATTCTCAAACATTTGAAAATTAAGGAATGCATATTTATCTTCATCTGGCAAAGTTTTCGACTCTGCCGTAATAACCTCAAGGATTTCAATAGCATTAATTAAGGCATGACCTTTTGTAGGGTGAAAGGTTATTGTCGAAGTTCTCCCATTAACAGCAACAGTCTTGTTCAGTACAAGAGCACTGTAAAGATCCCCGCTCATGTTCACAATGTCAATGTCTTGAAAAGCAATATCACCATTTATTAGGATGTCAAATACCCTTTGACCTATACCAGTGACAGAAGTATCAATCTCTGCAAAATGCAACCAAATGAAGTAGTTCCTATTGGGATCCACATCCATTGTATACGCTAAATTTGCTTGTGTGTGGAATCCTATGAAAGAACTTGTAGATTTTGGTGCACTGTGTGCTTGTGTGTGGAATCCTATGAAAGAACTACTACTTGAACCTCATATTTATATTACGGTCTCATTTGGCAACTTAGTGTTTTTCTCTATTTTAAACTATATAGAAACAAAGAGGGGTAGAAGTTAAAAAACAAAAAAATACATGTACATATATATTGATGCCTCGTATATTTCTATGCCCTAAATTTATATTCATATACATAAACAATAAAAGTATTTTAAAAATTTGCCCACCATGTAGGCATCCTATTTTTTTTTTAAATCATTATGTCCTATGTCCACTGTCGTCTCTACTTCGTTGTAGAAGATACTGATCCTATATCATCTCTTCATTCATAAAACTAGTTTATATTACCAAGAATAAGGCTGTCCATGAAAATGAAAGATTTAGAAGAGCTTTCATGGAACTTTCAGGGTGAACACTATGGAGCAATCTCCCAAGTTAATGGAGACAACTTTATTTCTTTTTTTTTCTTTGATTCATAGCAATAGTGGTAGTGACAACACATACTCATCACTTCTGCTACTATGTCCTACATACTAAAAATTTCTTCAAATGTCACTGTTTTCATGATATATTATTATACTAGTGAAAGCAACTATCTTTAAATACTTTGGTAAAGATCCAATGAAGGTACCTGTATAAGATAGAGAGGGGTGGTGGGCTGGCTTCTTTGTTAATTGGCATGAGTGAATTCAATATAAGAATTGTATGTTGCAATCCGAAGCACTAAAATAGACATTAGGTTAACAAATGTGTTACATGAACTGTTTTACTTCTTTCCATTTATACCTGTGTTCCCCAGATATGACAAGATTAAGGGTGCAAAAACTCAATTAAATTCACTAATTTTATATAATATTTGAAGAAGAAGACAATTACATTAGCAAGTAAACACATTTCGTCTCAAACGAATAGAGATACAAATTGATGTATATTCCTAAATAATTGACAATATTTTATCAAAAAATATTATGCAATATGCAATATATATGGGTGTTTAAGAGGTGTCCCACACTCTTATTGAACTTTTGAATCTAAAATCTAGATTTAGGAATATGTGGTTACCGAGTTATCAAAAAAATGATCCAATAGTCTATCCAATCAAATAATATATATATATATATTTTTTGTTTCCTTCTAGATCTTTTATTTTTTATCTTTAAGTGGTTAATGCGGTTGGTGTTGGTACATTTTTAACCTGTTTATGTAATGGTTATTGATTCTTGAGCAAAAGTAGTAACAGTTTTCATCTCTATTATTGGTTATGCAGTTTGTTAATGTGAAAAGATGTGCAAAATAATACTTTTTCATACATAGATCCTTCCTTTGGCGCGCCCATTCAATAAATCTCCTTTAAGTATTAGTCTTCTTTATGGCTAACTCTAATTTCGATGTTCTTGTATGTTGTTTGTCACAGGTCTCAATTTCTACATCTTAACGTAGAAGTGAAGCTATACCTCCCCCCTCCCTCCCTCCGTAGCAGTTGCATTGGCAGGTGTGCTTTTTAATTTATTTACTTTTAATTAATAGCAAGGCACTGCCAGGTGTGCTTTTTATTTATTTGTTTATTTTAATTGATAATAGGTACTTGTAAGTGTGCATTATTTAGTTATTTTCTTTCAATAAATAACAGGGCACTAGCGGGTGTGCTTATTTATTTGTTTGATATTAATTTAAAGTAGGGCACTGGCAGGTGTGCTTTTTTGTTAATTTGTTTTATTTTAATTGATAGTAGAGTATTTGCAGGTGTTTTTTTATTATTTCCGTTCAATTGATAGCAAAGCACTGTGGGTGTGGTTATTTGTTCATTTTCTTTTAAGAATTGATAATTTATAGCAGAGCATGGCGGGTGTGCTTTTTTCTATTTTCTTTTAACAATTGACAATTGAAAGCAGAGCACTAGCAGGTGTGCTTTTTCTATTTTCTTTTAACTATTGATAATTGAAAGCAGAGCACTGGCGGTGTGCTTTTTCTATTTTCTTTTAACAATTGACAATTGAAAGCATAGCACTGGTGGGTGTGCTTATTTTGTTCATTTTGTTTTAATAATTGATAATTGAAAGCAGAGCACTGGCGGGTGTTCTTATTTGTTCATTTTGTTTTAATAATTGATAATTGAAATCAGAGCACTAGCGGGTGTGCTTTTTTCTATTTTCTTTTAACAATTGATAATTGAAAGCAGAGCACTGGCAGGTGTGCTTATTTGTTCATTTTGTTTTAATAATTGATAACTGAAAGCAGAGCACTAGCGGGTGTGTTTTTGAATTTATTTCATTTGAATTGATAGCAAAACATTGGCGGGTGTGCTTATTTATTTGTTTGCTTTTAATTTATAGCAGGGTACTGATGGATGTGCTTTTTTATTTATTTGTTTCATTTTAATTGATAGTAGAGTACTTGAAGGTGTGTTTTCTTATTATTTCCGTTTAATTGATAGTAAAGCACTGGTGGATGTGCTTATTTGTTCGTTTTCTTTTAAGAATTGATACTTGAAAGCAGAGCACTGGCGGGTGTGCTTTTTTATATTTTAATTTATAGTAGGGTACTTGCTGGTGTATTTTTGTATTTATTTGCTTTGAATTGATAGCAGGGCACTGGCAAGTGTGCTTATTTATTTGTTTGATTTTAATTTATAGGAGGGCACTGGCGGGTGTGTTTTTTTGTTGATTTGTTTGATTTTAATTTATATAATGGCATTTACGAGTGTACTTTTTTATTATTTGCATTTAACTGATGCCAAATCTGCACATCTGTTGTCTACGTGCACATCTGTTGTCTATGCGATTTGTTATGTAGATATGACGGATGAACCTGAAAGTAGTAGGCAGAGAGAGGTCAACAGTAAAATTGACAATCAAGTTGCTCCGAATGGCAAGGATGATGTTGTCGATGGGAAAGAAGAAGGGTTAGTGTAGACGCGCCCGCGTGGGGCCCTCGTTACAGTTCGGACTCGATTTGTGTCACGGTTCTTAATCTGAACCAAAGAGTCCAAATCCGGCAAATCGTTTTGAGAAACAGATTTTTGAAAAGATAGTGCCAAACATGGACTGCTTTGCCAGATACAGAGTCGCCACCTAAATATTTTTTATGGGGGAATTTAGTGTGCATAACCTCATGCCTAAGGCCACGTGTCCGTCATCACCAAAGTTGCCTCGGCTCGAGAAACTTGGGTACGATTGGGAAGGGTCAGCTATGAGCACCCCCTCTCGCCCGATCCGAAGATGGCCTCTCTACTAACCATGATATCCGTTTTTGAAAACGTTATGTGTTTCTTATCCCGATTATTAGCCTAGAATTACTATGTTATGCCACGGCAAACAAGTATAGACTAGATTTGCCTAATTTAGAAATAAGCATTGCATATCCTTTGTCTTGAAAAGCACTTTGGAATTTTGCTACTCGCAGTAGGTGGCTAAAATACGGATTTAAACGAGTTTTTTCCAACTCAGACAATCTAACCTTCACCCAACAGGCATTCAAAACAGTTTATCATATAAGCATCTAGCCACATGTTAAGCATGCTGTCATGAATAGCATCCAAAGCATGCGTATCCTAAAGCATTGAAAATACTTACATCGTACTCCGTGCCAAAACAATAAACTAGTTAGCCAACATGCATGGTCCTAGTTCATGTCAAATTGACTAATGCAACACATACAGGATGCAGTTAGAGTAGGCTCGGCTAACCTAGACATGGCATGTGAAATGCAATCAATTGATGCACGTATTCAATTTGGAATTGAAGTACAAATGCAGTTAGCAGATGTACCGAGCCTGGTGCGTGCGAGACAAATGCATGGATGCACGCATGCATAGCATAAGGTATGCTAATTTAAACATGACCTATTACTAACCATCAAAGCAGGTAAGTAAAAGGGAGAAAGAAGTGGGGGTTGGAAGACATGCACACACTCACCCACACTTATTACAGATTCGCCCTCGCTCGGAGGGACCAAAAGAATAATACAATTCGAATAATGAATTAACTATCCTAGCTAATTAATTATTACAAATTACGTAATTAGTTAACAAACTAACTAAGCTAGGAAAAACAGTAAACCGCCTCAGGAAGAGAGCTCAATGCGCGCGTGCTCGGGTCTTGCTCGGAAGTGCACTGCCATGCACAAGTTTGCCTCTACTTTGACTGTTCTGCTTCTCAGAAAATTGTACAACTCCCAAGGTTGCTTCTCTGAGTGTTGTGGGACACTACCGGCTGAGTGGGATCATCACCGGCCATTTAGAATGGTCATCGGCTAAACATTATGCTCTCGGCCAAACCTGTTTTGCCGGTCGGCACCCAACACTGCCGGGCCAAAACTTCCTGCATAACCTGTTTTGACAGCAGCAGAGGGCAAAACAAGGCATGGCAATGCATTTCAAGCAAATGTGTGCACCGACGCATCCCCTATCATGTTTATGACTCAAAGGGACATGGTTCTCGATTCTCGGACCACCAATCGCGCATTTCAATGCGTGATGGCCCAAGAAACCAAGTGTGCATTTTCAATGTGGAATGAAATGCACATAAACAAACAATGAGCTCAACCTCTATCATACTCAAGTCAAGAGGCCAAGCATGCATGCCGATGCAATACATCCTAGGCATGTGAGCTAGTATGCAACATGGCAATGCAAACAAGCATGCAAGCTAGTGGACATGCAAGACATGATGCAATCAAAGCATGCAAAGTGTAAGACATGTAACAACATGTAAAGAGTGGACTTAAACTAATTTGGGCAGCCCTATACTAGGCCCAAAACAGTGGCCAAAAGCCATAGAAATGAGGGCCAAAACAAAACATGCTGGAGTGTAGCCAAAATAAGCTAGAATAATGGG